CCATTACTTGATGTAGTTGAACCGAGTATACGAGGACTTATGCAGGGAGAGGAATTTACAAGGAGAGGGAGAGAGAGGCAGTACTTTGCCTTGCTTCTGCTTTTATAGGGGGGGGGGTGGGGTGTGTGTATGAGTGAGAGAGAGAGAGAGAGAGAGAGAGATGATAGTTCAACCTGGCAATTGGACTGATCCGAGACAAGGAACGTGCACTAAATCCTTCCTCAGAAAAAGATTAGGTTGGCAAGCTGTGCTTTCAATTCTTGTTGGAAATGGGCAGTGCGATCTCCATCTACCATGTCCCATCTGTGGAGCAGTAATGAAAGAAATAGGTACGTGGTTGAAACACCTTCGCCCAACGGCAAGAAAAGCAGCGGCACCCACCCAGAGAGTAAAGTGAACGGCGAGGAAAGGTTGTCGCGGTACAAAAGAGGAGGAAGAAAACCACATGCCTGATAGAAGATAGAATAAAGGACCTGAAACAAACGCTGCAAAGAAGACGATGATCAGGTGTGTTCTTGGTACAGATTTGGTCCCTCTCTCTCTCTCTCTCTCTCTCCCTCTTCAGCTTCTTAGGACAAACGAGGAGAACCTGACTGCAAGCACTGCAACCAGACGCAAATTAGCGTCCTTTTTTGGTTGGATTCTGGTGTGCATTAAAGTTGAGATGAACATGCATATGAATGCATTTATCTCGCCACTACCTTAATAAGTGGATGAGTAGGGCGACATCCATCTAAAAATTACACTCATTACATTTTGGAAGAGATATGATTGAGTTACTTATGTGCAGAGTAATTTTTTAAAACAAGATTTGAAAGATATTTTTAATACATCAAATGACGTACATACATGATGCTCACATATGAACTCTCTAAGCCTACATGGTTTAGAAGGATCCTCATTATGTTTATTGTACTATTCTCTTTTTTTTAGTTGTTACTAATTCAAAAAGTCATTTTATAGTATAGCCAATTGGACCACGGCCCAATTAAGCCCAATTGTTTTCTAACGTATGCTCCACCCCCAACATGAAAATTTTTAAATAAAAAAATGTATTAGATTAACAAAAATTCATGCAGAGGTGATAGAGGACGTTTTGGCATCGCCCAACTAGCAACCACCTTAAATCACACGTGGTGTTATTCCATCTAGCTGGCAACCACCTTAGATCACACGTGACGCTATTCAAACTAAAATAACACACACATTTTAAATCAAGGTGAAACAACGTAGAAACGATTGTGTCCTGGAGCAACGTAGCTTAACTTAGAAACGACACCATATCTCAAGTCCGAAGCGGTGTACTATAAATCCATGCCGATAGGAATTAAGTAAGGCCAGCCAAAAAGAATACGACCCCGCAAAGCATAGGCTCGAGAGGATGGCCCCATAACAGACAAACCATCCACCGAAAACATCGATGGATGCCAATAATATATAAAAATCACCCCCAGGTAAATGCTAGGGGGCAAGATTTACTATCCACAAAAATCTGACTTAATCTTCGAAAGGGTCAAGCCAGAACTCCCCTCTCTTGACCTGTTGTATAGGGACTCGAGACCAGAAGCCCCTCACGGATTTACTGAGAGAACACCATAAGAGAAGACGATTATCACTCTCCGCTCGTTCTCCTTCCTTTAAAGTAATCCCGCGGGTGACCTTACATAATCGGGAGTGAACCAAGTTGTGCCTCGACCTTTGCGAGTACCTTTGTGAGGAGATACCCGCTGCCCATCCAACCTTCCACCTCAAAGGTCAATAGCTATGAGTACAACTACATTAATGGGGGAGATGAGCTAGTCTGATCGAGTTTGAGTGCGCTAAGGCTTCGATGCCATTGAGTGGGATTAAATTTGAGACTCCTGGGGCATTGTTAAAGCTTCATTCATAAAATCTATATCAGAAGCAAGAGTGGAGGCCTTATTAGGATGGGTTGAAGGAGTATAGCCATTGTGTGTGGTGTGATTATTGTAATAGGTCATTGTTTGGACTTTGATTTGAAGCACGCCCGACTTCTCATCTTTGTTGTGCCCCACAATAACAGCTTACTCCGACTACACTGATATTGTGTCCCACAATATCATATGCAAAATATAAGTTGAGTATAATTTCATGAGTTATGGCTTAGAAAAAATTAGTATCTTCTGTTTTAACTTACATTTCGTAAGGTAGGGAAAGGGAGTAATAAAATATTATACAGATGCAAGCATATCTTCCCCTAGCACCTGAAGCTCTAGCGACAAAGCACCTTCAACATATTTTCAATGCTGACAATGATTTTGTTAAAGAATTCTGCAAAACATTAGCTTAATAAGAAGGTTAGGTAGCTGAATCGAAGGAGGCATAGTAGTCATGGTCTCTCTGAGGGGTTAAAAATCTTCGTGGGAAGATGTTTAATGCTACTTTTTATGAACCAAGGTGAACTTGGAGATACAGCACATTCATCATATGGAAGGGTATACAGCACATCAGTTTATTCGGTTATCTCGATGTTCCTCTTAAGTAACTTTTGACCGGGATTATTTAGGATATGTGTTTAAAGACGAATCAGTCTCATTATCATGATCTCATCACGATCTAATTCTCATTGCACAGATCCATGGACATCACAATATATTTAAGCAATAGACAATATAAAATAATAAAATATTAAAATATAATAATAAACAAAAAGACTACGTATCAAGTCACACGTGTCATTACTCACGTGATTGGCTTATAAGACATATGACTAGCCATTTTAAGTAAATTATAATATTATTAAATATATAAATGAATCGTTGGAAAATTAAGGTGTTTTACAAAAGTTCTTTTGTTTGTATCATTTCGATTGTAACACTTAGTAAATACATAAGGATAATAACAAGTGTAAGACCATGGATTCTACTTTATGCTCGTCACCATACTAACCAATTGCATCATGGCTTTCTTCTTTTATTTTCTTTCTTCATTTTGAGTTGAAGGGTTTCTAAATCTTAAATCATTATGGAGGTGGTGCCCCAACATTGTTTGACCGACCCAATTCCTGTCCCCCCCCTCCCCCACCACCACCAACCAAAATAAATTTTTTAAGACCTTCCATTTGACATTCTTTCTAATTGATTTTTTTTAATAAGAACTTGTCGGTGATTAATTCTTAAAATATCTAATTATTGGGAATTATAATAGATGTATTTAATTTCTTCAAAAGTGAGTATGATCCAAGTATGTCTAAAGTAAGTATAACTCATCATTGTCTATTTCAAAACGTGATCCAAATTGTTCTTAAATAGATGGACTTTGAACCAAGTACAACTCGTTACATTACGAACATTATATAATGATTACATTACAATCAAAGTCAACACATAAAATATGAGTTTGATTTTGGCGTGCTTTATTTCCGAAAATGTGTGTTCTACATTCTATGATTGATAATAATTAAGTGATTTTTCTTAAGGAGTGATGTTATACACATGGGACATAATTGTAGGGGGCAAATAATGCAAACGATCAAGCATCATATCATAGTGACAAACATGGATTTTCTTCACTTGTTTCACCAAAATGTAAATTATGAAACTTGAGCTCAAATTCGCCATCTTGGTCGATATTTCCACTTGGCAAGATTTGACCACTCCAATACATTTTGATAAAGAACAATTTTTATTCAACTAAATTGTTTTAGCATAGCACGTCGTCATAGAGGTTCTCTTAAGTTGACTTTCAACTCTATACTATTAGGTCAAATAGGTTAATAATACATGTACACATATATAAAGAGATGGATATGTAGATAAATATGGAAGAGAGAGAGAGAGAGAGAGAGAGAGAGAGAGAGAGAGAGCAGCACCTTATAACAATGCTAGTTTTGCTGCATTAGATTTGGCATCTTCATCATCGAGTCGAACATCATATTATGAACAAGCATCTCCAACACTTGGTAACCTTTTGGAAGCTAGCATGGTCCGTAACAATCAAATATACGAGAGCTTAACGTAGATCAACATGCAAAACTAATGTCACATTACCATGTGAAAGAGAAGTCTACCGCAATGAGTCTACAAGGGATGGATGCATCATGCATTCGTCACCAACAATACAAGGGGATCCGAATGCGTGGCATGCACATTCACGATGCTAGTCAACAGAAAGAAGAACACATCGAAGTCAAAGGAAGGTACAAACGAGGAAGACTTCATCCATTCATCCATCCTTACGATAACGATGCAATAGGTCTCAGCGATGGATTGATTCATCGTCTCACGAGTGCCTTCAAACGAGCACAACAAAAAGGTCAACGTAGAGAACGAGATGACCGCGGCGGTTCCGTGGATTCCGCGTTTAACTCGGAGCCACGACGTGCGGCCGGCTCGAACCGGCGGCCGCGCCGAATGCCGTGATCTCGGACACAACACCGCCACGCGTCCTCGTCGCCCCCCCCCAACCCCGCTCGTCTCGGCAGAACTGGTTTTGCAACACCCGCTGCCGCTCACCAACCCACTAGCTTACCCGATGGGTGAGAGAAGCCCGATCGGCACACGGCACGAAACGAGGAAGCTTACCTTCTTCTCTTTTATTACCCCCATGCGTGCCCCCGAGCTTACCAAAGAGTGGGCCCCCACGGACAATGTTGTATTCCTGATGGCCAATCGAAACATGCTTACATGACATCTTTAAATGTATTGTTGGATGAGGTGGCGGCGTGAGAAGACGAGTGCAAGATTAGGAAATCATTGGAAGTGACGGCTTGAATTCCGCAATTAGTGCAGTGGATCTATGATTCGGGTGAGGCAAACCATGTTTTACTGAAATGTGTCGGTGCTTTGCCACGGCAACGTTTTCTCCGTTTCTGTAACCAACTGTGATGATTCCCATTTGTTTATTTTTAGCGGACATATGATTGATCGAATTCGGTGGATATATAATTCGGATTGATCTGTTTGAGGTTGTCGACTCCATTTACTATTTTTTGCTTCCATCATCAAACTGGAAAACAAGTCCTTATCCACAGTATTACTATAATAGACATCCCAACTGGGAGAGAAGGAATCATCGTGGCATTAGCATTGATCGTAGGCGAGCGAGAAGGTACCATTCTCGAGTTTTTTCATCTTCTGTGGTAGGAATACAAGGAAATCAAGTTTGTTTGCTTAAATTTCTTCAGCTGGAATTCATTCTATTATGGTTCCCGAATTCTTCTTCTGAGATTAATTACTTTTATTAACTCCATCTTTATCTCTCGTAATTCGCCGTAGCAATGTGGGAAACGCATTAAAAAACCTGCCTTTTTTTATGCTTTCTCTCTCTCTCTTTCCTTTTTCTTTAAATTTTCTCTTCTCTTCTGTGGAGGTCGGCGGTAGACGTGCTGAGCTGCTCTTCCCTTCTCCTCTTCCGGTGGCCTTTGTCGTGCCCTTCATACCGCGGGGAAGGAGAGCGGCAAGCTCGCCTGCCTCAAAGCTGCACGCTTTAAAGAAGAAGACGCCTGCTCGCATTCGACTCACTCTCCTCCCTCTCCTTCTGAGGTAAAAATCCCACCTTTTCGCTCTCTCTCGCCCGAGGAAGCCGCATTGCCGTCGTAACCCTCCCTTTCGACCGCCAGAAGCTTGGATCGGAGGTGGAAATCGGCCCCCGACGCCGGATTAATCGGAAAGGTTGGATCTTGATCGTGTTCGGAAGGTGGTGGAAGTAATGTCGCCGCCGTTCGGGTGGTGGGACAAAAAGGCCCACCGAGGGACGCCGGTGATCGTCAAAATGGAGAACCCCAACTGGTCCATCTCGGAGATATCGTCGCCTGACGACGAGGATGAGTACGGCATCGGCGCCGGCGCCGGCGAGGAGTTTGCCGCCGCCGGGAGAGGGCCGCGGAAGGGTGCCCGGGTGAAGAACGCGAAGCAGATTACTTGGGTGCTTCTCCTTAAGGCTCACCGCGCCGCAGGGTGCCTCACGTTTCTCGCCTCCGCCGCCGTTGGCCTCGCGTCCGCCGTGCGCCGGCGCGTAGCGTCCGGGCGGACGGACTCCGACACGACCTCCTCGTCGGACGAGGAGAGCCCCGTTCTGCGGTCGCGGTTCTATTCCTGCATCAAGGCCTTCCTCTGGATCTCCGTCGTTTTGCTTTCTTTGGAGATCGCCGCTTACCTCAAAGGCTGGCATTTGACCGCCTGGGAGATTCAGCCCTTGGTTCTTCCTTCGTCCTTCGGCGTCCGGGGTTTCCTCGAGTCGCTCTACACCGGGTGGGTGCGCTTCCGGGTGGAATACGTCGCTCCGCCGCTCCAGTTCCTCGCCAACGCCTGCGTCATCCTCTTCCTCGTCCAAAGCGCCGACCGTCTCATCCTCTGCCTCGGCTGCTTCTGGATCCGCTTCAAGGGGATCAAACCCACGCCGAAAGGCGCCATTGGAGCTTCCGAGGACCTCGAATCCGGCGGTGAGGACTGCCCTATGGTTCTAGTCCAGATGCCCATGTGCAATGAGAAAGAGGTAAGCTTGGATATCTGCAAGTTGGATACGAGGCTTGTGAGCCAAAATGACCATCTTTGCGCACTTTCGCTGGCATTTGGCAGGTCTATCAGCAATCGATTGCCGCAGTGTGTAATTTGGATTGGCCGAGGTCCAACATTCTGATTCAGGTGTTGGATGACTCGGATGACCCCACGACGCAAACTCTGATCAAGGCGGAGGTGGAGAAGTGGCAGCAGAATGGCGCTCGGATCATGTATCGTCACCGGGTTATTCGAGATGGTTACAAGGCCGGCAACCTCAAGTCGGCAATGAATTGTAGCTATGTCAACGATTACGAGTTTGTCGCCATTTTTGATGCCGACTTCCAGCCTGCTCCGGATTTCTTGAAACGGACTGTGCCTCATTTCAAGGTATGTGTTTGCCTTGAGCTTTTTTTTCTCCATTTTAGTGCTAAAACTTGACATTTGATGGCAATTTTGATTTGCTGGTATATTTACAGGACAACGAGGAGCTGGGATTGGTGCAGGCAAGGTGGTCGTTTGTGAACAAAGATGAGAATTTGCTGACCCGGCTTCAGAACATTAATCTCTGCTTCCACTTTGAGGTGGAGCAGCAGGTGAATGGGGCGTTCATCAACTTCTTCGGGTTCAATGGCACCGCAGGAGTTTGGAGGATCAAGGCACTGGAGGATGCCGGAGGGTGGCTGGAGAGGACCACAGTCGAGGACATGGACATTGCAGTGCGAGCTCACCTAAAAGGATGGAAGTTCGTATACCTTAATGATGTGGAGGTATGACAAGGTCTTTCAATTGCCTGAAATTTCTTGAATTTACAGTACTGCATGTAGATATTGAAGTGTTTCTCTTTCATGTATGAATACTATGTTCAGTGTCAATGCGAGCTGCCGGAATGCTACGAGGCTTACAGGAAGCAGCAGCATCGTTGGCACTCTGGCCCTATGCAGCTGTTCAGGCTCTGTTTGCCAGACATCATCCGATCTGAGGTACCATTCATAAACCTAAACATAAGAAGTTTTATCCAATGCATTGAAGCTTGTCTATAAAATACCTTGTCATAGAAATAACCAGCTGGTTAACTGTCGGGATAGAGGAAATAACTGGCTTAATTAAATTCTTCTTAATGGAACATGAGAAACTTTACTTCAGCACATTAAAGCTTCTCTTATCTCTTCCAGTTTTGTCAGTTATCTTGTCTGAGAAATAACAAGCTAATAAACTGTTTGGTAAGAGGAAATATCCGGCTTAATACCACTATCTCATAATGGAAATGGATTGTCCTACATTTCTGTGATATGACATACATCGGCATCATAACATAAACTAGCTAAAAATTGGATAGTTAACAAAGTGGCCCGTGAAGCTTAAAACATATGGGAGAAGCTTGATATACACATTCTCTATATTTTCAGTTGTATTGGATCATCATGGCATATCAGAAAGAAGATACGATCTCAGCATATAAGCCTTTTTCTCAGTGTATCAACCTAATGACGATGTACTCTTTGCATCAAAGGATCGATTGAACAATTAGATGTGTTAAATAGGGGTTGAAATGATGAAAAGGTGGTGCAAGTTTACATGTGCATTCACTATCTTATTCAAATTCATGCTATATTTATGGACCTCATGGTAAGCCATTGTATGATTGTCAGGGCATAGCAGAAGATGGAAAATATTTTAGCACTGCAACTAAAGGAAACTGAAGCCAATATGACTAAATGCAAATTAAGTTTTGGTTTCCCTGCTTTATCTAGTGTAAATATTCTGGTCATTTCTTATCTGTTTGATGCCATATCTTTGGTGGAAATTATGTCATGCATGGATGAATGGACAGAATTTTGCAATTTAATTATAATAATGTCCAAAATGCATACATGTGGTCGGCAATTAACAAGAATAGAACAACCGGGGCCCTTTGTTTCCCTTTTTTGGCTGCCTTTGAACATGCTTCACTGTGACTGCCATAGCAATTATTAGTGATACTTAAAAGAGCTAAAGCTACTTAAACTTGAGCGGTTCGCTGAAGTCTCGATTATGTTATTACTTGATGTTTCTTGTTGAAATGTAGGTTAATGATATTCTTCGCACTAACCTGTGCTGTTCCTATTTCAGATTGGGTTCTGGAAGAAGTCCAACTTGATATTTCTCTTCTTCCTCCTTCGGAAACTCATATTACCTTTCTACTCTTTTACCCTATTCTGCATTATCCTCCCGTTGACGATGTTTGTTCCAGAAGCTGAGCTCCCTGCATGGGTGGTTTGTTACGTTCCCGCAACCATGTCGTTCCTCAATATCCTCCCAGCCCCGAGATCCTTCCCCTTTATCGTCCCGTATCTTCTTTTCGAGAACACCATGTCGGTGACCAAGTTCAATGCAATGATCTCAGGTCTCTTCCAGCTCGGGAGTGCCTACGAGTGGGTAGTAACTAAGAAGTCTGGCCGTTCCTCCGAGGGTGATCTTATTTCTCTCATGAAGAAGGAACCCATGCAGCAACGAGGTGCTTCTGTACCGAATTTTGAAGCAATTGCAAAGGAGGAACCCCGACCACAAAAGGTGTCGAAGAAAAAGCACAACAGGATTTACCGTAAGGAGCTAGCACTTGCTTTCCTTCTTCTAACTGCATCAGCTCGAAGCTTGCTGTCGGCCCAGGGTATCCATTTCTACTTTCTCCTTTTCCAGGGGATCTCATTTTTGTTGGTGGGTCTCGATCTGATAGGTGAGCAGATTGATTGAAAGAGTAGGTAAGAAAAGGCTTATTAGTATTGGCAACGATCACAGGGACCACATGATATTGAAGAATATATTAGTTTGGAGAAGGGTGTGCAACTAAATTGCCCTCCCAATGAGAGATCCAAGTAACAACACTTCCTCTCCGTGGAGAAGTAGATAGTCAGTCTCAGCCCGTCGAATTCTCCAATCTTTCAGGAGCCATTTAATTTGCAAGAAAAGGATGATGATAAGAGGGGAATTCAGTTACAGCAAGACCAATTTCATCTTTCAACAGCTACATAAACTTATAGCAAAATAAACTTTGGTGAATAGCTGCATCGTGTGTTTCAAAAGGAGCTCGATGACCTCCAGCGAGGACATGTAACAGCTATGAATCTACCTTTACAGACTTGTTCATCCAATTATAAAACTATATGATTTTTGTCCTGTCTTCTCAATATTATGGTCAAACTATACTTGTATCTAAAGTGTGTTTGAACTTTTTGAACTTGTTCTTAAACATTATCGAAGAGTGTGTTACTGAACTGTGTAAAATTAGTGCAGCAATGCAAAAATGTTGTGCAGTCTGGACTCGAACTAGCATGACCTAAACTGGATTTTGCAAGGGTCACTGTTTTACCAAATATGCATCATATTCTGAATTCACATAGTGGAACCTCAGAGCATTCTGCAGAAAATTTTATCTTTTCTCAAAGTCTTTTTGGGGTGGTAAGCCATGTTCCATACTTTTGACACTGCTTTCCTAAATCCTTCAAGCATTGAAGGGAAGCTATACACCATCAAATTGCAGCCTCTGTTATAGCCAATGCATTACTGTCAACAAATAGTCCAGTTTGCCTCCTCACAGTGGCTTACCTGGATGTTTACATGGACAATTCTGCAGTCCAAAAGTATGATGCTGTAATTTTTGCAGCTTGAAGTTGCAGAGTAGTGTTCTGCATAATACCTTTGGTGAAAAATGAGCAGTAAGCTTAACTTGTGCCAACAATAGCAGAATAGAGGGGACAATTGTTAGAATGATGGTAGTTCTTTACTGAATGTATCACATGAGACAATGTCGGTCAGATAAATTTTATATTCATTATTTTCTGATTTAGTGTTTTATCATTAATTCTCTGTTCCTACAGTGATATCACTATATTAAGTAAGGAAGCTAATGATTTTTTTTTCTCAAAAGAAGAAAATGACCAACAAATTGGCTTACATTATGACAAGAAGAGGAATCACTATATTAAGCAAGGAAGCTAATGACATTTTTTCCCAAAGAAGAAAAGGACCAACAAATTGGCTTACATTATGAGACAAGAAGAAGAATGACATTCTTCTTCTTCTTCATCATCTTCTTCTTATCCATCAATAATTGAGAATCAATGTTCAGCATCATTCGCTACATTGTTTGGAGCTCTCGACGAGCGTACTATTTTGTGATCTGATATGGAGTCCAGCCTCACAACCTTCTCGGACTGCTAGGCTGAGTGCATTACCAACTCCTGCCCATTCTGAGGCATGAAGAAGACGGAGCTAATTCTAATGCTCGAGGAAATGCTGCAAGATAGGATACCTCGTGCAAGTATTCTAAGGTTTCACAGTCTACTACTTATCACAGTGCATAACTGGCACACTCCAAATTCCTTATGACATTAATAATGGATCATTATTCAACCGAGAGATATGTTTTTGTGATTGGTAGATTCTGTTCAAGCCATAATGGTCACCAAAAAGAAAACCAGCAACCGAGTGATAGATATGCTTGTTAATACTCTTTGTACAAGAAGGAGATATCATCATGGGTAGATTCATCTTATTTCTACACGCTGATGCATTGCGAGACTTTAAAGCATGTGTTCCCGCTTACTACTTACTGGGGTGGATGCATCTCCATTGTTACATTGGTTCATCTTTTTGCTTGGTAGCAGTTGAAACTACTGCGAGGCATTTAAAGCCAGCGGCATTATAGTAATTCTTTACCTCACAGGACCGCGTGAGATCAGATGCCGCAGATTCTCGCCGCCGACACAGGTCAAACTCCGGCGATCAACGCTCCCGGAGCGGCGCGCGGCCGCACCTGCTTACGTGGCAAGTGAGACAAGATCTAGGGAATAGATTGACCGCTGTGGATATGTATATATAGCATCTAATAATAATGAAGAAAAATGATAAGGTCAACATCACACCAAGTGTTAATTGTGATTAAAGATGGTGTTATACCTCTAAGATAAGGATTAGAGGCATCTTTTTTTTGGAAAATAACTCAAAAAAGAAAGAAAGAAAGAAAGAAACTTAGATGCTGCTCAAATACCAAAAGATTAGAATGAACCAAACCAAATCATCATCAAAGATAACTAATCTCCACAAGCTCCCAAGCCTCAACACTTCAAAATTCTCCCCCAAATGGACCAAATGAGTAGATACAAAACATTTGCAGTCCACTGAGGAAGGCCTGAGGCCTGATCTCATGGATGGATCACCAATCTCCACTAGAACCAGCTTAACATGAGCACACCATTTCCCTCCCCAGCTTTCCCTGTCACAACCTGGTTGCTGCTATCTGCAGCTGTGCTTGCTGAGACCTCAGAGATGATGATGCTTACGCATCTGTCCAAGCAGCAAAAACTGGCATGTGAGCCAGAGGCAGTGCCGACCTCATCTGGGCTGGTGCCATCCATGTGTTTGATGCTGGAGTGCTGATGAACCTTGATGGGGCCTTTCCGAAGAGCATGGAAACCTCGGTCCTCTCAGAATCCATGCCCTGACCACTCCCCGGATCACCGCCGACCAGACCATCAAGATTCGTCGTGAAGATCTCGGGCTCGAATTCCAGTCTCTGGGTTTGCTCTTCCGAGATCGGCGCTGGCTGCTCTGCTACAGGGACGACACCCGGGGCGTCCATGTTCTTGTTTCTTCTTGCATGTTCACCCGACAGCAGAGTGCTGCTCGCCATTATCTTCTCCACATCGTATCTCGACATGTCGAAGTTGGTGACGGCGTTGGATCCACGGAACTTGATGGCAGCGATGTCATACGCCTCGGCTGCTTCCTCCTGGGTGCCTGAGATTTGATGTCAAATGCCAAACCATCAGCTTTTGGGGAGGTAAATGCTTTTTTTGTTTTCACTTTCATCATTAAAGAAAGAGAATGAATCGGTCAAACAAAGACTTGGGAGGCACTGAGCGGTGATCAGCCTTGCGGAGTAATGCATTACTGTTAGCCAACAAAGTAAGTCGTGCTGTGGAAAGCATGCGTCGCCGGAAAGAAGAAAGGAGCTCAAAGTGTGTAGGATTTGGTGGTAGCATCATGATTGGGTTTCTGACTCGAGGAGTCGAGGATATGGATGGTCACGCGTCGATGATAGAACCATGCATGCAGATGACACCGAGCACAACGAGCCACATCAAGATCATCTACAAACTCACTGAAGGTTCCAAGATAAAGATCTTTGTTTCCGGAAACCCTCCCGATGCGAGCTTGCCACCTTCCGTGCTGGTGATGCCTGGAAAATGCACATGTACCAAGAACAAATTAACAGGTTGATGGATGTGCTCGCTGCTGTGATTTCAGAGAGAGTCAGTCAAAACCTCGTCACTCCTCGGTACATCGAGGCTCCTCGCGAGAACCCACTGCTCTTCCTGCACACGAGAGAACAAAATGGATCGGATGTTATGAACAACGACATGAATGGCAGGCCTCGTGAGAAAGCAAGCCGAGCCACCTTCTCAGATGGGCAACATATTCCTGCCGACTCATGTTCTTCATTTCTTCGAGCTCTTCCTGGTAATCTTCCAACTGCTTCCAACCTACCAACCGTTAGTGGATAGACAGACACCAAGTTCTTCAAGAACTGATGGTTTCAAACATGTACCGGGAAGTTGATGTGTGTGCTTGTTCCCCAGTATTTGAGTGCCGCCAAGTCATAGGCTCTCGCAGCTTTCTCTTCCATATCATAACCCCCTGGAACCCATAGTAATTAAAACTGCTACATAAGATTGTTCTATGAATGAATCGAGTGATGATAAGATGAAGAGATAGAAGCATACCCAAATAAACTGTGTCCGAACAAGTGTTTTTTTTTGCCATTCAGGATTATCCCAGACAGGAAGATAACGAATCAGATATGATAAAATAGTCAGCTATGGATGCTTCCAAGATGAAGAAACAACAGTAACGAAGTCTGCTGTTAGGAATAAGATGTTGATGATGTATTAAGTTTGTTCTACCAACCTTGTCTTCCTTTCCTTGTTTGTCCTTCCTTCTTGCAACTGTTATCCCAAAGATGAGCTTCATATCTGCCGGTCCATCTATGCCTGATGAAGAAACATGACTCTTGGGAAATTGTTTAAGAGGAAAGCTATGAAAGATCTAAGAGAAGAGCCAAACGTAAGGTAGGTTCCAAGAGAACCTCGACGCTCACCTGGTGACACCCCTGTACTGGGATGTTCTCTGGCCAAATGTATCGATCGACTTGCGGTGAACTGGCTGCTTCTGGCCTCCTTTCCCGGTTCCTCTCTTCTTTGTTGGATCCAAGGTGACGTAGTCATTCGCTGTAGCAGAAGAGGCGTGCTGTGGTGCTGTGACACAACTGGACTGTGAAACAGAGCTCATGGACAAGCTCAAGGACTGCAACTCCCCGTATCCCATGGCACCCACCGGACCGGCGTTGCCACCATTATAATCCATGGGCACCCAGGTTTTGAGCCTCGGCACGGCTTCATTCCTCACGGCATGACCTTGTAATGGAGCCTGGTACATCTCATGGCTGGTGAGCAGGGAGCAGATCCCTTGCTGCAGTGGCTGCAAGTATGGGAGTTGTTCATGGAGGATGTCCGAAGGATGGCTTCTGCTACCCTCAGGCTCTGGGTTCTGCTGGTAGTACATGCTGTCCAAGCTTAAAGCCATCGCTCCCCTATCATTGTTCCCATACTGATGATGGGTCCCCATATTTGGACCACAGCCTAAGAAGTCTTCCAGTTTGGGGGATGGAGATGGCACCATCGCTTCACATGAAACAAAACATGAGGAAAAGATGCGGCGAGTGTTTGAGATACACCTGCTAGTTCGCGAGTGTGGAAGCTAAACAAAGTGAGTGTTGCGAGACAGACCTTCTTGTTGTTGTGATCTGCTGAGGGCTTCCACGAGGTAGAGAGACCCATCAGACTTCAGTGGCATGGAAGACAACTGTGAGTAGTATCCATGGCCTCCTCCATTCTCGCTGACCCCGAAGCTGAAACCGGAGCTGCTTAGCTGATGAGTAGCAGAGAGGAAGAAACTGCCAGCGAGTGCAGAGACAGCATCAGGAGTGGGCTGAGATTGGTGATGATGGCTGTGGTTATGCGGTTGGTGGTGTGAGTCGACAGAAAGCTCCATGCTCATGTGAGGGGAGAGCGAGAAGCCCAGCCAGCTATTATGGTTGTCCATGGACTTCATCTTCCTTCCTTCCTTCCTTCCTTGCACTAGGGCATTTTTAACAAGACCCAAGGCGAGGCAGCTCAATCATTGGATAGTACACAGTGTAATCATTCTACCCCCCTTGTAGCTGCCCACCATTTGAACTTGGGTTTATGTGTTCAA